TATATAATTATGTAATTTGGTTTTAAAATAAGGAATTGTATCGTATTCAGTACTTTAGTAACAAATTTAGATAGGTTTTTAATCCCGAAACCTCCCGATATGTGTTATTTGTCACCACAATTTTGATATATATTTACATAATCAGTACAGAGTACTAAAAAAAATCAACCTCAAAAGTATATTGAATTACGTCTATTGGCTAAGTTTTATTGAAATATCCTTAAATTCGCCACTATACAGGACTTGACACTGGAGATAATAAAAATTAGTTCTCACTATATGGAGAGAAAAACACCTTGGATTGGAGAAATAGCAAAATCAACCATTAAAATAATTGCTCCTTAGTAAAACTTAGGCGCTATTTATAAAAATGAATCTTCATGCGTGAACAGCCACCCTTGGAGGTGGTTGATTTTCTTCAAAATGAATTGGGACCACTATGAAAGTATCCCCTTTCCAACAAAAAAAGAATCATGAAAATCGGTTCACAAATACCGGAGTTATCGCGTAACATACGTACAAAAAAAAAAAAACCTACAGTCGATTTGAGAACCTCCTCCTTTTTGAAATCGGTTAAAAAAGGAAATTCATCAAGTCCATAACCCTATTTTTATAAAGCACAAACCTATCAGGATTTGTAATTTAACGTTGATTTGAAATTCAATCTAAAAGGATGAGGCATTTGATTTCAAAATTAATTCGACTCAAGAATCTGACCCTAAACTTTGAAGGGAATATTCCCCAAACGCAATTCGATTCGGGAAATGCTTACACGCAACCATTTTGTGACACAACGTCGAGAACGACTACAAACCTATTTATTATACGCCATACAATTTCACATCATTTTATTTTACAATCTCATTCATATTGTAAATTATGTTAACATATTTATTTTATTGAAATCATGACATATTTTGGAGTATTTTCACTCCACAATAGTTTATTTTTATTATTGATACAAAGATCAAACAAACAAAAAAAATTTGCATAGTGAAGTTCGTAAGGTTCGTTGATTTGTTAAGGTAGCTCAGTTGAGAGAGCGATAGCCCCGGTTTGGCGAAAAGTCGCTGGTTCGAGTCCAGTCGGATCGAAGGAATTTTTCTTTGTGTTTGTTAAGAACAATATGTTAACATTTGAAGACAGAACGTGGACTGATGCAGCATGATGTTCACCGATAAGATTTATTGGTTTTTTAATAGTCATACGCCTGGCATAATGTCATTTGATGTTAATCGACATTGTAACCGACGGAAATACGAGTTTGTCTAAAAAATGCCTTTTCAATCTAACCTTGAATAGTATTAAATTGTACTTTTCACGAAACAGGTTCTGCCGTATTTAATTCATTCGCTTTGCGCATTAGGAAAGATGAAGCAAAGCGTTTCGTGCTAATGGTTTTTACGTCTAAGACATAAGGATAGATTGTTTTGGATATTATAAAGTCGACCGCAAGTGGAACGACGAAGATGGAACTAAATTCAAAAGTGAATTGTGAATGGAGCCTGAGTTTTTTCAGGAGTTTATCCCGTCTTATTTGGATCATTGACGACCTCCGTGGTCGAGTGGTTGCAACACCGGTTTACATGGTATAACCATCTCTGAGGCCCCGGGTTCGATCCTCGACCGGGTCAATATAGAACCCACACTTTCCTGCATTGTATTTTCTACTCTGGTTTGGGTGTTTGTGGTACCGTGGTCGTTTCAGATTTCCCTAACACAAGAGATTTAGTTACTTACTTTGGGATCAGAGTAACGCGTGTCATGTTGTCCAATTGGACCTGGGACCTTTAGGATTAAAGCGTCAATAGAGATCTCATGGCTCCCTAGGTTTATGTCCTCGTAAGATGTTTGACATTTGCTTAGTTTAGGGATTTTATACTTTTACAGATCTGCGAGCTGTCAGACTCATATTTCATAGTGAGATGGTTATTTAATTTGCAGTACTACTCAATCACATATATAACCAGTACATATACTTGACGCAAAGGGGTATTCCTTCAGTAAATATAACCGCGTTTCAAACTAGAAATGACCCTACAAATAGAATTCAAATTTCCTGAGCAATCGATGCCAATGTAACTATTTCATATAAAAAATTCGGAACATTTAATTGAAATTTCGTTATTTGCTAGACACGCTACCTCTGTGTATCCTCTAAAAACTTTACGCTACTTTAACCATAAAAGTTGTTAACCGTTTGAGATTCGATTCAAAGTTAAATTAGAAATTCTTATTGTTCAATTTGTCTTCAAAATTATCTTTCTTTTCTTTCATTTCTATTTGATTTGTTACATTAGATGTTTGTTTAGAATTTGTATTACTTAGAAAACATAATTTCTTAAAAACGTTACTACTAAAATATACTGAGTAATTGTTAAGTGCGCCCAGGAGATTATTCAATAAATATAAGTGATATTAAAAAGCTTTAAACTGATATCAAAAGTACGATATCTAACGAGTAAACTTCTTAAAAAGAAAACTAGAAATGTGTAAAATGTTCATATTTATGGAATAATCGCCTGGGAACACTTAACGTTTACACCCTGTATACATAACGAGAACTAAACTTTTTTTACAGGAAAATCGATATTTTGTTTTTGGTTTATTATCTGTCATTTTTTTGTGAGATAATTTGTAGAAACAGTTATTTAAATGGCAACTTTGCACTGTCCAAATTATTGGAAAATAATTTGTAGAAATTGTTTCAACGGCATCCACTGTCAAATGTAACTAATAGTCGGATTTTTAATTGATAGAAAAAATGAAGAAAAATGATAAAATTATGTTTTTTTTTAAGTAAATGGATTTTCTCTTAACCAGTACCAAGCCCTGGAGCAAAGATAAGGTCTACAATGGAACGAGAGCGCAGAAGGTGCCTTATCAGCGCTATGATAGCGTTGCCCGCAGGCCAAATTTCGTGACAACAGCAGCCTTAGACTACAACTATCTTATGCCTGGGATAGTATTCAACAATGGACTATTGTTAATTAATGTAGACAATGATAAACTACTCCTATCTTCTTTTTTAAGTTTTTTTAACATACGTACTCTAGGCCCGCACTAGGGAAACCCTGTTGCAGGTGCCACGGACACACACATGGACAGACGACCACAAATTACACCCAGAGTCAAGAGAGAAATAAATGTAGGTCATACAAATATTATTAGCATGGTAACCGTTCGGCCACATAAGCAGTTAATATCGTATCTATGTATATGGATTTGATATGAAATACACTTTAACTAAATGTAATGTCCATTTCCTAACTAGAGCTCGAATTAACGTTATAATGATATTATAACATTTCAAATTTGATGTAGTGTTTATTTTTTAACAAAGACTTCGTTAATGAACACGTAATAAATTTCTCATTAAAAAATATTTCATAATTGGTGTCAAGAGTGCTTTTTAATTGGGTTTGTTAAAATAATGATTTTGGTATTAATTATCCGCATTTACTAGTTTCTTAATTTTCAGTAAATGCTTTTAAAACTGCATTGAAGTTAAATTCGATTTGGTTTTATATTTCGATTCGAAATATTATATAAAAATATAAGAAAAGTTTGACAACACACTTTCAAGCTGAACTGTCTTTCTAATCATCTCATTTTTTTTATAGAATAAATATATGGTATATATCATGGATCAATCACTCAAGAGAACTGCTAATTTGCATACTACAGATCGTAACTCTAAAAAAGGTTAAAATTCTGTCTTATGTTTAGATGGTACTGATAGCCTGTAAGTAGTTTACATTATGTAAATAGCTGTGGATATCAATTAATTTCTCTTTAATATAAAATATAGGAAGTCAGTTTTGTTACCCTCATAATATTATTCAAATATTGAACAGGAGCTAAACTTATTATCTGAACTTTGACAAATGCGTGTCAATAAATGACATTATGTGTCACAAACTAATTTATAAATTAACGCTTGCTAATATTGGTAGATGGCGCTGACCCTAAACAAAATAAAAGCTGTCTAAAAGCGCTATCTAGTTGATTTATTTGTTGTCACTAGAAATTAGGGTAGCTTTGATAAATTGCAGCTTCTCAATGTGAAACAAGTAAATAAATATTGGTCAATATCACATACGTTGCTCTTATCCCATGTTACTAAAGTGCTTACTACCACAAACACCCGGACTTGAAACAGTATTGAAAAGTTATTTTCTACATTGACCCGGCCGCGGATCAAACCCGGAACCTCAGTGATGGTGACACCATGAAAACCGGTGGCAAGCCACCCGGCTGTAGAAGTTGTCAAAATAAAAAATAGACCTTAAATAAACCTGAACTAAAAAAGTTACATAAAACTAAAACAATACAATTAATTTATTTTTGATTTTTTTCAATTAAGGTTAAGCAAATCGATGTTAAAAGATTTTTTTGATGATACCAAATGACGGGACGAACAACTCGTGCGCCTGGTGGTAAACAATACTATCCATAATAGTTGCAATGCAACTCAGAGCTTAAATTGCAAAGATCTGAGGGGCATTGCCACTGTTCCCGTCGCCCGGAGACATAAGTTGACAAGTCCCATGTGTCTGTAATTTCACTAGCACCCTTATCCTTCAAAACTGCAACGCATGTTCACATTAATGTTTGGAGGCAGAAATATAAGGTGGCAAGTACTGGACTAAGTTTGTCTAAATAAATATTAGCAACAGTGAAGCTCCTTGTGAAAGAGTTTAACTCTTTTTTTTAAGTTTAAGATTAGTGTCACTAATTCTGTTCAGGCACAAACAACTTTCGATAACATTTTACAAAAAAAGTCACCTGGAAATGTCTTCGCACAATAAGCACTTGCTTGAAATAATGTTTTTTCTTATGCGTAATTTTTTAATCATAAAATCATACTTTGTAGTACTTTTGGGTTTCTGAAGCTCCTTTATGTCCGCGAAGAAAAATTCTTATTTATACCAATATAAACGCTACTACTTTATGATCTCACTTTGTTTTTGATCGTTTATGAAAAAAAAATAACATACCTTAGAGTACATAAGACTCAGTGGAAGACTCATGGCCGTAGATAAGATCCAAACGAAGGCGATTTTGACAGTCACCCGTTTGCGCGTTTTGTTGCGGCCGAAGCGCATCGGGTACCGGAGAGAGAGATACCTGAAACGAAGATGTTGTTTTAGTTTTCTGTGTTGTTTCAGCAGCAGCTATTTTCAGGGCCCCAAGTCTGCTAATGTTCTCGAAACCAATGATTTATTCAGGTTCCACTGAGATTGAAATATCGCAATTATGAGAATATTTCGATACCTAGAATGAACACTAAGCCAATAAAATTTTTGGATCTGTTCTGTTTTTATTTCCTTTTTTTGCACTAATTTCATTTTTTTTTTGAACTTTTAGAATTTTGTTTTTTGTCTCAAAAAATTCAGGGAGCATTAATAAATAAATATGGCTGTTACAAAAATAATAGAAAATGACCAAAAAAAAAAGTTGGCGTAGGAGGTATCGATTTGCCGTTCGTTACTGAGGGGCCCGAGATGGCGGCGTTCGTGTTCCACGTCCACCTCTTAAGACGGCTGACAGGGAGGTAACATCCCTCCCCAGAAAGCAAGACGGGGTTCGACTACCAGTCGCTCACCGTCGGAGTCGCGGAAGAATGCGAAAGCTCACCCGTGACTCCGGTACATAGTGAGGAGAGGTAACATCGTCAGGTTTTAGTCGGGCGGAGGATATCCATGAAAAAAGGAGGTGTCGATTTGTTACTCTGCTAAAATCCAGGTGCAATGGCAGTTGAGTCTCACTACACTGACAGTAATGGCATTAATTCAATTAATCGATGTTGCCGTACTAAAAGTACTACGATAATCATGGTATCTAATGTAATCAGTTAGTCTTTAAATTCAATATACATAATATTAGTAGACTACGCCTTTGACATGCAATGGAGTCGCCATTGAAGAGCAGAATTAACAAAAAAAAGAAAAAAGAAAATAAATGCAATGGCAGTTGAATAAGTAGCTCGGTAGCTAGCCCCTGACATGCTACCACTTTTAACTTTTAGGAGAATAACAAACGTATAAAATCCTGCCACTGACACTCTATAGACATACAAATGAAAGTATTTAAAATTAGTAAACTAGGAGACATGTGTCAAATGATTGATATAGTTGGTGCCCTTACTTAGGTACCTATCCACTATTAGTATAGCACTTAGTACAAATAGAGGATACCTAAGCGAGGACACCTGCCTTAGGTCATAGGATACAACAACCAGACTATAGTGGACCAGTAATTTACTATTTGATTGTGAACCACAATAAAGAATGGAATAGATGAAAGAGTAAAAGAAAAATTATAACTTTTTTATAAAAAGAAAACCGACATCAAACGTTCGTGGTGTTACAATTTTGGCAAAAGGTGGAATTATATCCTTCAAATTTAAATGGGACCAATACTGAGGTACTTCTTTCCAACAAAAGAGAATCAGCAAAATCGGTTCACAATTGCCACAAAAAATACAGTCGAATTGAGAACCTCCTCTTTTTAAAGTCGGTTAAAAACAAAGTAATGTCGTTTGCTTATTCTTGGTAACATAATAAAAATTTCTCATTAATAACTTTTCTACGGAATTGATACTTGATTCCGTTTCTCCACTTAAGGCTAGAGTTCAATATCCTATTAACACATATTCCCAACATACGAAAATTAAATTTGTACGCTAATAATATAAATGATTAATGTAAATGAATCCCAAGTCTGAGGCGAAAAATATAAATTTTACGAACTGCCGTGAATATTAAGGCTCATTTTTCTGCGCAGTTTTATTGTGTTAATGCGTTAGAGGCAGGGCTCTGGAAAAACACGGCTACATTTTTATGTCGTTGCTAAATCGTGGGAATAATGCGAGATATTTCCGCTTTTCGCGTGATTTCCGATATAATCTAAAGTAGCTGAGCTATAAGCACCATTCTCTGTGTTTATTTTATCGACTAATATTATAGTTTTATTATAACAGGCGCATGAAAGGGTTGTTAATGTAACGCTTAATTTTTTTTTGTAATATTAAGTGACGGGACGAACAAGTCGTGCGCCTTATGGTAAGCTCCACTTATGTTTCATGGTGACGGGCGCAGTGCAAGGACCCTCAGATCTTTGCGATTTATAGCTCTGAGCGGCACTGCATCTGTTATGGGCAGACGTGTCGCTTACCACCAGGCGTACGGCTTGTTCGTCCCGTCACTTGATATTGTAAAAAAAAATATATTATAAAAAGTACAGTAGAATGAATAACACAGTATACACAAAGTTAAAGGAAAAATAATAAAAATGTCAGCATACTTACATTATAGGCCAAATAGAAAAACTTTAGTACTTGTCAGACAACGTTCTATAGCTGAGTCATTCATAAGATACTGTTTACTACATATACCAACATGTAAGAGCTGATTGATGCCAACGGAACATGACTAGATTGTGATAATTTGTATTCTCTGACTTATTTTGTCTTCATGACCCAAGGAAGTCTGATGTTATGTAAGTCAATAGCGAAGGGATGATGAAACACGGCTTAAATTGATTTGAATAATATAATAATTATTCTATAAATATAAATTCTATTGGAGGAGGAGTGAGCTCCATCACTGTTCATGCGGTCAGACTTTGCGAACACACTTCCTATTACTTTTCAAGGAAGTAATTAAATCGCTAGCTATTTTCAAAATGAGTGATATGTATTATATTATAGAATATGTGTTTAAATAAGTATTGATGTAGTTTAATGTTATTTATATTGTTTTTGTTTCGCATAATTATTATTTTATTGTGTACGTAAACCTGTTATTTTAGTTATTGTGTCCGGTATTTAGATCTGCAGGAAGAACTTTCTTTTAGAAATAAGCAGAATCTTTTGTTTGTGTTTTCCTTTTGTTAATTGCAATATAAGATTAGATAAAAAATAAATTTGATTGGGCTGTAGCTACCACGCTGTAGCTAACACACACCATTAAATTGCCTTGCGAATGTCTGCAGGTTTCTCTCACGTTGTTTTCCTTCACCTAAAAGTTGTTTGTAAATTTCAAATAAAATTTCGCACTTAAATTCTAAAAAGGTACATTCGAACCCACGATATAATCCATCCATTTCTACTGGAAGGTATACACTTAAAATGGTATACTTAATTAATTACCTGTCGACACTGATGGTACAGAGATGCATGATAGAGGCTGTACAGAGAAGAACGTCAAGACAGATCCAAACTAAACAGTACACAGCTGGAAGCGGGAAGTAACCTGAAACAAAGTAAATGTTGATTCAAGTCAAAGTCAAATAATTATTTATTCCATACGCTAAATTTTTACACTTGAAAACGTCATTTTTTAAGCTACTCCTCGTTCACTACGCTGACTTCCCTGAGAAGAACGAGCAAGAAACTCTAGGGATTAACTCTTTTCAAATAAACTTAAATGCTATGGAATACACTTTGAATGATAATTGTGTGGAATCTAGACTCATGTTGTCTTTCCATACATCATTGTCTAACGTATACTCTTCAGTTTTGCAATATGACTTCATTCAAAATACTTTTAATTTTAATTTTGATGTTAGCTCCGGAATCTTATTGTCAAAACGTCTACAGTTCCCCATAAAATTATCGTTTACCTTAGTTAAACGAAATCGTGGTACCATGAGTTTGGATTTAGTTTTAAGGTTAATATTATGTATATGTTTGAATACGTAATTTGTAATGAATACAAAATAAACGCCGCATATAATTTTTTATTCACCAATTCATATTAAAAAGCAATCTACGGACCCTATTCTAATTACCCTTCGGACCCTATCGTAATTATCGGATCGTAACGTAGAGTATATGTGGAGTAATCAAGTGGTCGGAAGCATCCGATCGTGTAATACAATTAAGTGAAACTGTTTCAAGGGAAAGTTTTGGGTGTTAAAGGAAAAACTTTTACTGAGACTTTAGAATACCGTTTAGATTACGTTTTACACACATTTCGGTTTCTACTGGAATGTCGTATCGTCGTTCTAAGGTTTCACGATTGTTACGTCATTGGAAATAAAAACATTTTTTCGTATTTAAATCGAGTATATTTGTTTTTTCAAACAAACTTTTCGGGTTATTTACAGATCCCATGATCACGGCTGACTGAGTCAGTAAAGAGACCGAAACGTTTGTTTGATAAAACAAATAAATGCGAAATATACATAGCAAAATCGAGTAACAAACGTTTGCATAACGTTTTCTCTGTTTTGTATTTAACGATCTCAGTGGCCTAAAAGGATTGTATTGTGGGTGCTGGAAGAGGAGGTCACGCGTGGGTTGCCCGTTAGAACCGATTTGGAAAATTAAGTTTAAGCATGCAGCAGATTTGGGAATGATTTACCATCACTCTTGCATGAAAGTATGTTCCAGCCAATTTTTAAGGCCAAACTGAGTCAAATATTTTTACTGCTCAAAAGAAGGATACTGAAATACCCCAAAGTCATCAAAACATGTTGTAAATTTTAGACATATTTTGTAAGTATCTGTTTGGGGTAACTGTTGTGCTTTTGTTTTTTTTTTCCCCCTTCAAACATTTTTTATTCTCTTTCACTATCTAACGAAATTTTATCTTCTGTTTTAAAATTGACAATCGCTATTGGTTTTGTATTGTGAAAATTATTACTTTTTTCCTTTCCACTTTCACGCTTCTCGTAAATTAATGGTCTGTGCTAATTTTATTTCATACATTACCTGATACACAAACGTGAGAACGTAACTCCTGCCAGTGAGGTTCTGGCTGAAAATCAGCCCAATCAATCAATTAAAAATCAATCAAACCAAGTTTGCACAGCGTATACTGAGCTCATAATCCTCGGCACACATCTTTGACCATAGATATAGTTTTGTGTTTTTAGTTGCCATGTAAATAGTGTATGTCTAGGTTAGATTTTTTATTTGCATGTTTTATGTTTTTTTTGTGTGAGTGGCAAATAAGTGGAATTTGGAATTTGAATTTGGGATTAAAAAAACCAAAGTAGCAGTAGAGCTCGTTGTGAGATAGTTCAACCAGGGAAGTACTGCCATATTACCTATTCCTGCCGCCAAGCAGTAATGTCAGGTTATCATTATTTCAGTTTCGAAGGGTAATTGTGTTGGTTATTACAGGCACATGAGACTTGTTAACCTATGACTCAGGGTGATGAACACAGTGACAATGGTACACAAATATTTGTGACTTAAAACTCTTGATTGATTAGACAACAAAATTCTGAATTTAACGGATAAATATGTCCCTTACGACAAAATGTCCCTTACGACATTTCAAATGTCCATCGTCGATGTGACGCCATCGGGACTTCACGTAATATCGTACTCTTGGTATTGGTATTATAAAACCGAGTGTAGCGGCAGTGCCAGTCAGATCTTTGTGGTTTAAAGCGTTGCATACCCCCAGGCGCACGACGTTTTTGTCCCGTCACTAGTCATGCCATCGGTACGATAAAACGAAGTCGTGAAATGGAAAAAATTTTGACTAATATGACCATTGACTTACAATTATATGGACGTCGGGTCCGCGCTAAAAAGTGTCCGAACTTATAGGGCGTTAAAATCGTATACAGAGCGTCATTCACGCTTTAGTCTTCGTTTGTTCCACTGACAGCGAAGCAAGCAAAATTAGACAGTACTGCGATGACATTACAATTTAAATTCAACGTTTTGGCTTTTTCGTATTCCTTTACATGTCACTACGTTTAAATAGGTTGACTTGGGACATTTTTTTCGTGGTTTGTGTATTAGACCCGTCGTCCATTTATTTGTAAGTCAGTGAATATGACCTAATTACCGAAATTTCGTGGATATTTAATTATTACTTCATTTCTTAGCTATTTTAATTAGTTGTCATATTGATTCCATCGTCATAAAACAATAGCTCTTCTATTTTTAAACGAACTCGCTTATAATAAATATCGAAAATCAATCCCTCCCTACCTAAAATGGAGCAGCCAATTTATTTCGCTAAACGAAGCGGGCAATAAATAAAGTGACTCCAATACGGTAAACAGATACTAATTAACAATATCACTTAGAAGAGCGCTATTAGGTCTACTTTGTCGTACAACAAACAGTATGCTACGGGATACTATCATTAGTGTAATGAGGAAATTAGTTACGATGTTTTTTTAGGTAATCTTTGCTAAACAAAAAAAAAAAATTTACGATTACCTTGGTCCATTTTCTTGACGGAAAGTAAAGATAAAAGACATTTTATTTATCTCAAATTTGCATAAATTTCAATATTATCATGATATTGTAAAATAAAAATAATCAATATGGAGAATAAATGGTATTGCTTATTGTTTATAAACAATTATAATAAATTGCAGTTGCTACAAGACGTGACGTGCTATATCTTTTGACCTATAAAAGATATCGAATTTTCAATTATAGAGATCGATAGAGAACTAAATTCATCATCTAATGGTTGCCTTACGCCCACATGTCCTATACGACATTTTAAATTTCCGTGGTAGATATGACGCCATCGTGACGTCACGTAATATCGTACCCTTGGTATTATAAAACCACATGTCACAAATGAAACCAAATACTGTCCTAACTCAAGATTGTGAAATTGAGAAAACATGATTTATAAAGTTCAAAACATTACTGAATGAAACCAATAAATATAATATTGTCGTTTCTCTCTTCTCTTCTTCCTGTCCTTATTCCACGCTAGGTGGGGTCGGCACAACATGTATTTTTCTTCCACTCTCCCCTACCAGCCGTCGTTATTATCGTCAAAATTGTCGTTTGTAAATGGATAATTTATTATTATAATTGATACAAAGATCGCACAGTAGAAGTTTAGTAGCAGTAGAGTTCCTTGTGAAAGAGTTCGCCCAAGGAAGTACTGCTATCTTGTTAATTTCTGCCGAAAAGCAGTACTGTCAGCATTACTGTGTTCCGGTTTTGAAGGGTAAGGGTGGTGGTGAAATTACAGGCACATGGGACTTGTCAACTTATGTCTCTGGGTGTCGAGCGCAGTGTCAGTGCCCCTCAGATCTCTACGATTCAAAGGTCTGAGGGGCACTGCAACTGTTATGGACAGGCGTGTAGCTTAACCATAAGGTGCACGACTTGTTCTTCCCGTGACTTGAAAGTATAAAAAAAATTTAAACAAAAAGCTGGAATTTATACATTTCCATTGAATGCGTAAGCAGGTTTTCAGAACCAAGATTTCGGTTAGGAGGTCAGGTACTCATATCTGAGGGCATCGAATGTACGCTAAAAATTGTGCTCAAAATTATCCTTTAAAAACAAATTGTAATTTTAACTAAAATAAAGTTTTAGAAAACAGCCAGTTCACATAATTTTTTCCAACCAGTGCTTAGGACTAGAGATGGTAGATCATTGCGGTACTTATTTGCTGCGTAACAAAACCTGCAGCTGAATAGAGTCAAACGAGGGAAAATTAACAGCTGGAATGCGAGTACCACGTAGATCTATCATTACTACTGTGTGATTGGCACTCCAACTAAGTTTTTGTGCTAGATATATTACGGTCAACGAAAATAGAACACATGATCGAGGATAGTAGACTAACGCCTAGATAAACAATGTTAATGCACTTAAATTTATACATTCCATTATACTTTACACTTAGAATAATAACGCATAGAAACCTAGCCCGCACACGCTAAGTGAGGCAAGTTAGAGGGTTCCAAACGCGTCCCAGGAGCGCGCGGGCTGTTAGTGCTCAAGGTCATATTGCACCGCGAACAGCTCCAAAATTTTTTGCTAAAAATGACGAAATGTGCGGTAAATGGGTGTAAAAATACAACAGACAAACATAAAATAGACACTAACATCGCATTCCACAAGTAAGTAATGCGTTTCAACTCATATTTTTATGTAAATATTCACTAAAACAGAAAAATAATTTCGCGGCAACAAGATACGAAAGTGTTGCAAAGTAACGAATTTTTTTTCTCCCCATTTTGCTATTCTGTATCAAAATAATTATATTACGTAAATTTTAGTGGTGCCTGTAATTTAGATTTATTTGCGCATCTTGAACTAATATTTACTTTAATAAACATTAAATGTTTTCGTTAACTCCTGTAAGTGATTGGGACACTTAATTATTTTATAATACTTTTAACGGCTCTGCGTTCATGCTTTATTGAATAATTATTTATTTTAATTTTATTTGAATTGGAGCACATATTGCAACAAATTTACAGTACTTATATATCGACGGTTAATAACCAAGACCATCTATCTACA